CGCATGTGAACTGCATTCTGGCTTTTCTAAAGCCCATTTTCCACTCACGTATTTCGCCGCCGCTGGCGAAAAATTTCGCCACCGAAAAAGTTCATTTGTTGTTCTTTCGCGCCGTCAACGAAAGGTCAAACAGAAGTTGAAAATGTTAAGCAACAGCAGGAGAACAAATTTCTTCAGCGGCGAATTAATGAATGTAAAAAAATGATTTCTTTGTCAAAATTTTGGAAAATGGACATACAGTAAGTCGATAGCCGCTCCATAATAGAGCATTTTCACTGACAGGATAACTTTGAAATGGTGGTCTACAGAGTGGATCAAGGGTTCTATTTGCAAAACTGTAAGGCTGCATCAGAGACCAAGCACCATCAGAATGAAAGTGGCATGCAGTATACGCTGTACACTAACCCGTCAAAAGACATTACTTTGCATGTATACATGCCCGACATCCGGGAACCTTGGGCTTACCCTTCAGGCATGATGTGATCGGCTCGCAGCTGTCTCCATGGTAGCCTGATCGTTGACAACAGTTATATGTCATTGAACAACTCATGCTTGAACACTGGCTACCTATTGACTGTATAGTTAACCATTAACAGGTAATTAAACAGGGATCCACAGTTCTGCATATTTAGTTAATGCGCGTCGCTTAATTTTAGTCTGACTTGACCGGGGATTGGTTACCGGGGATTGGTTCCTGCAATATATACAGTTGTCTGATTATTATTTCACTGGAAAAAGGAACGGCCATTACTGGGCTCCTGTATCACGACCGGAAATTGGACAGAAAAATACCCCTAAACATTCATTGCATGACACACACTTTTTGTTTTGCTTTACTTTGACTTATTTATCTATGGATAAGGCTCAAATTGCAGGATATCTATGGATAAGGCTCGAATTTTCTGGGCTGTTAGCATTATCTTAACCTTCAATTTTGCCAATAAATAAAAAACTTTGTCGACTGTATCTTGAAATAATTTAAGCTGGATTTCTACTTGCAAGAAAAATTTCGCCTTCGAAATAAATATTTAATTCTTGTGGTTTTTCCATGAAGCATGCACCAGTGGGGACTGAAGTGTCCGGAAGTTTCTGTACTGATGCATAAAGACTATATAATCCAGTAATGAAACTACGATGGCTCAGAAGGGCCATCTCTCTCTCTTCTTTTTTCCAGCAGCGCTCAGAAGTGGCGCCTTAACCCACGGCTTAGGTGGCGCTTTAACCCGCGGCTTAAATGGCGTGTTAACTCGCGCCATAAGTGGCGGCATAACTGAAAGTGCGCGGCTCAAAACTGGAAGAATGGCTAATAAGTGGCGTGATAATTCAGAGCGCGGCTGGAAAAAAGAAGAGAGACAGATGTCCCTTCTGAGCCACCGTATGAAACCTTTCCTTTAATGCACGTTTGAAGTTTCATGTAAAAATTGTATTCATGGCATTGGTTTAGAAACCGAATTGGCCTGCCTAAAGGTTTACACGGGTGGGCTTATAGACTTAGTTGTGACATTACTTACTCTCCTGTCATTAATAATAAATCATGCATAAAAGTGCTCAGTTTTGAAGTTGTTTATGCATTTTGTCATTTTCAAAAGTGACCAACAATGCAGCACGAATTAAGTGCCTCAAAACAGTGTATAGCAGTTGCGAATCATGGATTCACTGTTATACACCCCTATTGCATTCATTGACTCATAACATGTTTCACGTTTTCTTCTAGTTGTCATCCACGAGCTCATTTTAACAATTTAAAGTAAATTGCAAATGATCGACAAACTTTGCCTTATTGGCTCTGAATGAGACCACGCGATATCCTTATCACAAGAGTCTGGGGCGAGTCAAATATCTTTGTTATCCGCCATTTTGCGGAGAAGCATTTTGGCAGAGTAAAGATAAATGTGTATATGCATGAATATAAAATTTGCAAACTTTTAACGGAATTGCCGAATTTTTTCACAGCGACACTTAATTTCGTGCGTGAGGAACATCAGACATGTTGTTCAAAATTAATATTTAATTGCTATAAAATTAGGTTTTTAGAATAATTGCTTCATTATTAATTAATTAAAATATCCGCCACTGCTCTGAGCGTTATTATAGTGCGAACGCGGCTTGCTTTAGGATAACAGAGCGCGCTCTTTTACTGAGTTTAGAATATCAAGAATTATAGCGGAGAAAAAATGTTCCAAAGACTTTTGAGGTATGGTGTCAATCATATATATATAATAATATCAATAATAATAAAATAATCATATTTTAACATGTTAACTTGTTCAGTAAAAGTGAATGTAACGGCTGGTAGTTTCCACTCGGAAAATTATCCGTGGATTGGAACGGACAAGAACATTTTTCTTTGCGTTAAAGTCATTAGTTCCAACCCAGAGCTCACAAGACAAAGAAAAATTTTCTTGTCCATTCCAATCCACGGATAATTTTCCTGAGTGGAAACTAGCCTTAACTGTTATCCACCCAGGTCCTGTGTTTTACACTATATATACTAAAATTCATCAGTAAAAACTATATAATGTCTTCCTTCCTGATTCGCCTTTTAATCTTGGTAAAACTAAATTCTTACTGCATGTTCCCTAGAGTATACCTTGAGTGACATGTCAATTCTTGTAAAATAGTTGTTGTAAGCCGATGGTGCATTCAAACATTTAAAAACATCCGCAGCGCATTTTCTGCAACGAATTTGTTGGACTGTGGGGAACTGCACAGCATTGCCTTGCCTATTAATTAATTGATTAATTAAGTTTCGTTTTCTTGTATCTGAAATGTTGATGAAAATGTTGCTGCAATAGAGCATGCCAACTGGCGGGATCATCACCTTATAAATGGTTTTAGCCGTATATGCGAGTTTATCTCATGTCGTATGCGACTTAGTAAGTTTGTTCTCGAAAAAGGCGTTTTGATTAACGCATTCAGATGATCAGCTATAGAGTAAGGTTTTTGTCTAGAATAGCACCATAGGTAGCTACATGCACTGTATTGTACTCGTACGATGGCGACTCTGTAATATAAACACCGTTCTGATCTCCAGAGATCTCGCTTTGGCGATCGTAATTGAGCCTTGAATTGAGCCTTGAGGGACAAGGTATTACGAACTATAGTATCGCACTCATGAGTGATGATGTTCTGGGTCTAATAATTTTAGTTAATAGCTATATCTTAGCTGAATTAACAACGACATAGTTTCGTGTGTGACTGACTGACATGTTTAAAAAAAAATCGTTTATGTATTCAAGACAAAGTGCCTATATGAATAATTGTTTCTGACAGTTATTACTTGTGGAAGACAGTTTGAGCCGAAACAGCAACGCTCTTATTGAGTTTATAGGAGATCAAGTTTAGGCATTGCCAAGAATTAATTCGACAAGTCAATTTTTTCCATCTATATACCTTTAAAACAACAACTACAAAAATTGAACTACATGCAGAAAAAACTTGTCATTCTTATAATTCTTCCCAACGGTCATCCTTAAGCCCACATTTTCCGCTAGGCGAATTTGTTTGCGCGAATGGTAAAAAAGTAGGAACTGATCCAACCTTTTCGCGGCGAATTTATTCGCTGACCAATCACATTGCCATGATTTGTTTTTCGCTTCGCGCGAACAAACTCGACTATAGTGGAAAATGGGCTTAATATATTTGCCTATATTGTTGCTACGGCAAAATAAGTTGAAAAACATAACTTTATTTTTGTGTGTGTTTTGATCACTTGGCCTCGCAGCTCAATTGGCAGAGCATTGGAGTTGTGTCTCAAAGGTCGCGGGTTCGATTCCCACCGTGGTCAGGCTAACTTTTCAGCCTGCCCGGTGTGGAAATACACTGAGAGTAATATCAAAAACATCATAACTTTATTTATGGGATAGCTCCATGCATCATTTCGGTAAGACCAATCCATTATTAATCCAACTTTACAGGCAGAAGTAAACTACTTAGATAAGGGAGTATCCGGAAATTACCTGCGAGAAAGTACCAGTTGAAGAACTCTTCTCACATGCGATTGAGATGAAATTATACATGCAGGCCTGCATGCATGGGATTTAATCCTGCAAGATTGTAGTGTAGAACATGTTTATTTATTTATTTATTTATTTATTTATTAAACTTCGCCACTTACAACAAACAAGTGGCAGGGACACCACAACAGTATACACCAATTACTGTGGGCCCTTTAAAAATTGCTAAATTTTAAGAATACAACACAAAACAACATATCGCAAAACAAAACTACATCGCACAGAACAAAATTGAACATTATGCAATGCAATGCAGTACAATGCAGTACAATGCAGTGCAATGCAATGCAATACATAGCAAAGACAGGATTCAACTTCCACCGCCACTATCGCCACCAACAATATTATTATAGTTTATCGAGCTAACCAATTACATGCACATCAGGTCAGCGAGAGGTAGCGGTAGTGGCGGCGAAAGCCAAATCCCAAACTCGCTAAAAACAACAAGAGATTGGACTATCCAGACTTCGAGCCTTGTTGCACTTTAGGTAGATAGATTTCCATGTCCGTGGATTATCGTGATCATAGACTAGATTTAAAGCAGTACGGTAGTAATCGAGTAACAAAGATTTAAATTTGACTAAGCTTAAAGATTGATGTCTCAGTTCATCAGGCAGAATGTTCCATATCCTGGTCGATCTGTTGATGAACGAGCATTGAAATGTCACCGTTCTGCATTTCGTCTCACGGAGCAAGATGCTTTCTGGGTTGCTCGTGGCTCTTGTTCTTCTCGCTTTCCCAACATTCCTTTCTGGAATGTCATCGCTAACATGCACCAAACCATTCATCATCTTGAATAAGAACACGAGGTCTAAATATTCGTGCCAGAAACTAAGCGGTAATAACTTGCTTGCTTTAAGCCGATTCTTGTAGTTGGTCTGACAATCGTATGGAAGATTTAGAATAAATTTGGATGCACGGCGCTGAACTCGTTCTACTCGTATGTCTAATGCCAGATGATTCTACTCATTTTTATCACCCATTAGGCATTGTCAATCTTCTCCATACTGGTGCTTGCCTCGTGGTACTACAAGCGACATAAATGGAGTGTTTTGAAGAGTAGAAAACTAGCGTATTGGGCCACATCAAGATAATACAGCACAAGCAAGACTTTCGCAATGGTATTTATATCTGTGTGACTTACCTTGGTAATGATAATATCCGATATAATTTGTTGGTGGATGCTTCCGATATGATTTGTTCAGAGTGTTGTTTATCTCGTGTGAGTATCAGCACATGTTTGACAATAGATCATATAATTTTTATTATTTGTTAAAATAAAATAAATTTTTAGTCCACTATTGTGGATCTTTAAAAAATACAAAGAACATGGCTTGCTGTCATTGTGGTAACCAAATTTGTTACATATTATGGCGATGGTTGTTATATGGCGGCATAAAAAGTTTGGATGTCACCATGCAAAAGTAGTGAAACACATACTGTTTGGTCTTTGAAAATTAGGCTACTGCCTACGGGGTACAGCCGAAACAAGGGTTTTTAGTATGGTCTGAACATAAAGAATTGGTGTAAAGCTTCATTGCATTATTTAGTATGTATGTACATGTAATTGTGCCACAAATTTGTACAGGAACATTCATCACATGTTTGATAAGGTGACATCAAGATCTAATACATACACTACAATTCATATCCTTTCATACAAAGCATTAGTCTAAGAGTAAAAAATAAATAAATTCACAAAGAATAGATTGGAAACATATAGTATATTTAGGTGGTTGCTCAATAGGTTTTTTAAAATGTTGTGTCTTGTGTGGTCTTGTACAGCTTGGAGCAGCAAGCAAGTCTTGCGTCGGTTACATGTACAGGAAGGAAAACCTTAAATGAAAAAGATCAAATGAATACACGTCTGGTAGCTTTGAATGTATTTGATTGCTGATCACAGTACTTTTACAATTACAAGGTAGGAATGTTTCTTGATATACTTGGAAATAGATTGACTCGGCAATTACCTGCTAAGCAGCTGAGGAAGACTTGCTATGATTGGTCCATATCCTGGGGAGTTATCAAATAATTCAAACAGTGGAGCGGCAACCAACTTATAGTTTCTTGGCACGGCAAAGTTTGCTATAGTAGTGTAATGACGAAAGGTATAGTTAATTAGTTACTAGTAATTTCCGTAATTGTACAGCCTGTATTCAATCATTTGCCCTCGTAAAATTGTGGCCATACATATCCTCAGTTTATATTTGAGATGTTTCATGTTACCTTTTTCACCAAGTTGCATTAAAAATAATTTCTTTTGTTCCTTGGGTTTTGAAATATGTGCTGGAATGTACGGATACTAGAAAACAGCAAGGTGAGAGAATTGTTTTCAGTATTTGACATTTGCACATATCAATATTTTTTTATGTTGACTCTTTCCTTCATTGCATTCCTGATACAATGGTATTGCACTAAGCCAGTAATGTGTAGAATAATAATATACCTAACCATACCTGTGGAGCTTCAAAATTTGGCCTCCACCAGCTTCCTAGACTGTCTTCAATGACCCATTCCATTTCCAAATCACTTTCTGGGCGACCTAAAATCTGAGAAGCAGGGAATTTGTAAGGCAGATGCATGTATATAAATGTGTTTTTAACTAGCCTGACACAGCCACTTGTTAACAATGACTTGTGAAAACATGTTAGCTTTGGAAAAAAATGGCAAATCAATCCACCTCCGTCATTGCTCGTTTTAGTCCTTCGTTTTCATCTTCACCAGGCATCAGTTCGCCACCAGGTCTATCAAAGATGTTTTCACATTTTAGTTGCAATTACTATTAGAATGACTTTATCCTATGACATTTACTGGCAAGCTTTATCAGGTTTAGGCTGGCAATAGTACTAGAATACATTTTACTAGGCCTTGATCTCAGCTGGAATTACTTACAGTTTAAAAAATGTAGTTCCAAGTTGTAAAAGTAAAATATGTGGTAAGCCATGTTCATGAACAATTAAAACCCCTTCAACTGTCTTTCTCATTCCAAATTTATCATATTCAGCCCTAAATGAACAGAAGGTCAAAAGCTATGTTAGTGTGCATCCAGTGTGGACAGTTTGTATCGCATGGTGGATATCTCCGGCACACAATTTGGATACTTTATATATATTTACTATTAAATTTTCAAAATCTCCGGCACGCAATTTCTAAACTTTCCAGTCAGGGTGTGCATGACTATGATGCAGGAATTGATTAAATATATTATGTACTTTGCTGTGTTGGTGTAGTGTACTCAGGCGAATAAAATGCTTGTGATGTTACTCTGAGTGTAGTTACGCTAGTATTCCAAAGGTCGTAGGTTCGATTCCCACTGTGGCCAGGCATATTTTTCAAGCCTGCCGGTGTGGATATACACTCAGAGTAACATGACAAGCATATTATGTACTTGTATCTACCTATTTTTTATTAATCTGAAATAAATTTCTTATAAATCAGACAAGTGTAATACAATACCTCATTCGTTGAAATCTGGTAAAAACAGAACTAGAAAAAAGGAGAAATTAATTTATGCAACCGATGCACCGAATGTATTTGTCAAAATATGTTTTACATAAAATGGATAATTTTATAATGCAAAAGTTTCTAAAATGCACTACCTATCTTTCTCATATAGTGCTTCTTTTGTTCCAAAAGTATAATTTGTTAACGGATACCTAAAATTCAGAAGTAAAAAATAAAGCAGTCGCATCTGAACAATGTGCAAGGGCCTTCACAGCTTCACTCCTTGGCAAAATTTGGCAACTTTTGATCTAACGAAAAACCACTTCAACAGCAAAATTTCCGCTCAAATTTTACTTACAATCTAACTGTTCTTTCTACAGAATAATTATTTGTTACTTGTACGGGATAGCTAGTGCCGCTAGTGCTTCTTCTTGGCCAGCCGGCTGCACGTGTCACACCGTCTCTCGAGGCAGCCATATTGGATATTTTTTCGCGTTCTTGTTTGTTGTTTGAAAGACTCGGGAGAGTTCGTGATATTTTAAAATGTCATAAATTAGAATGAATTATAGAAATTACTTTTCACGCCGCCATTTTTGGGATACTCTAATTTTATAACAATGTGAAAAGCAATATTTCAGAACAAACTAACTATTTACAGAGTAAATTTACCATCATACACCCATAAAATTATTAAATGTCGCCGTTACGTGATGTTCGTTACGCATGCAGGATTGGCAAAAAAGTACCCCAAAAGTGGCGGCGTGAGAAATGCTAATTGCTTTAAATTAACCAACGATGGAAATCTAGGGCCGGCGAGAAATGCCCCTTAGATAATCCGGCACTGAGTGTACGAGTGTACCGGGCCTCTTATTAAAGTGCTTAGTTTTTATCCAGAAGTTTTTACCGATAATGTTTTAAAAACATGTTGATTTTGATTGTAAACTCTTACAAGCTTGGTGGGATTAACGGATCACTTGATTTAGCCAATCAGATTACGAGTTTCTTAGGATCGTGATCTGATTGGTTAAAATGAAGGCGGACCAGAAAGTAGACAGGTACCTACAAAATGGCGAAATAGTTGGTTCCTGGCGTGAAACTTTCACTTTTAATAGAACTTAAAATAGTTTAATTTAGGTTTTTAATTGTGTTTTTAAATTTGATATAACATAAACAAGTAGTAAAGATACATTTTTAGATTTTTATCAGTTAGATAAAAGCACAAAACACACCGCTAACTTTTTTTAGTCGCAATTCAACTCGCAACTTTTTTAGATCGGTAAATTAAAAATAAAAGATCTGTTTTTATCTGTTTTATACCGAAGGGTAAATTACAAATAAAATATTTAGAAAGAAAAGTGCCCCATCAGCCCATACTTCCCGACTTTGTTAGCCCGTATCGGTCAAGTCCGTCTCGTGCTAACCGCTAGAACGCCGTATGTTACGTTTGAGCTAGATTTCGGCTAAACTCAACGCTATCGTCAGAGGCGGTTTTCAATAGGTGGAGTTACCAACCGGTTTCGAACGAACTACGGGGGAGGGTGCCGGCGGCCCCCAGACCATTATGCCTGGCACCCTTTTCGCAAGATCCTATGATCGGTAACTACCACACATAAGTAATAGTAAAGTTTCGGTATATATGTACGTAACAGTCGCCCGGTGTGGTGCATGTGGGACGCTTTAGCTCCGGTGTTTACTCTACCTTTGAAATGAACGCATGCGCAATAATCTGACACTGGTAGAAGTAGCGCATGCGTGGGCATTGTCCAATCAGAACGTAGGGACATTTCGCGCCAGTCCCGCGAGTTCGAGACATGTGCGCGACGGCTCAGAAATTTGAAATTTTTGTATACAACCTTGTTTTTAATAGTGAAAATATTAAAGTAAATACATATTATTCACATGTATTTGCTTGTCGAAGGTAGAAATTTAAGAGTATGTCTAGCTAAGGCGATAAATCGACAGGAAAAGATGGAGGCGAAGTGAAATCTACACCATCAAATTTTATTTTAAAACCAAGAGGTCGCACCGCCGTTGGTTTCTACAGTCTTTCTAGTTAGTGATACAAAAGGTGAAAACCTTTATATTTTTATAAATTGTTTTCTTTTTTGACGATAGTTGATGAGAAAATATTCTCTAAAGCTTGTTTCAATCGTCAGGGGAGGAAAGTTCTTAATAGTTTGGCTTTATTAGTATGTGTGACCATTTGTATTTATGAATCCTATTAATTAATAATTAACTTCCTTTAGCCTGGTATATTCTTGTATACAGAATACACCCTTCTGGAAAGTATCTCACTTTGGCTATAAAGCCTAATGCCAATCACGAAAAGGATGGCCAAGGGTCAGTATCTCAGTTATGTGATATGTGTAGTTTGTTGTTCTGTTAGATCACTTACATGTATCTATGTTTATATTTATATATTGTAGTTAGTTTCATGTGCATGACCACATCAACTATCTGTAAATTTACCATCGTGTTTAAATAAATGCTTTTATTATTACTGTGCTTCTTCTCTGGAAGCGTGTATATATTGTCTTGAATTGTATGATTCAGGTAGGATATATGAAATGTTTGACAGTAATATACAGTAAAGCCCCGAATATAAACCCCCTTCTTTGTAACTTGTCTTTGTAACTCTTATGGCATTGTGAGAACGTGTGAGTGCAGCAAGGAGACCCGCCAACGCTATATTAAAATCCACACTTTAAGAAATTTGAGATCAACCTTGTACCTAAATGCGAAATAGGTCAACTTTGTACCAAGTATTTCTAACTATCTACAAAATGTGCGAATTATTACTGATGCAACTCAGGTTCATTGTCAGCACTATGCCAGATAGTTTAAGTACTGTTTATAAACGAGCAGGAGTGTGTTATTAGGTTTAATCCATTAAGTGCTGGTGCTCTCCCCTTGACAAGTAAAATCGTCTGGCGTTAGAAGGAGTAAAATAATAAAGTGGGGTGCATCAGGGCGCAATGTGACTCAATGGGTTAAATAGATGCATGAGCAGATAGGCCAGTTAAGCCATTAAGCGCCAGTGCTTTCCCATTGACGAGTAAAAGCGTCTGGCATTAGACAGAGTAAAATAATAAAGTAGGGCACATCAGGACGCAATGTGACTCAATGGGTTAGTCAGTACAAGTGCACAGCACGAGTGGCGTTAATAAAACACAACCTGCAAGTTTATTAAACTGCTTCAAACACCACGACAAATTCAATAGATACACCGCCCTATTAGTATTCTTTATATAATTTCACATCCATTCAATATATAAATATTTATTGACAACAAATATCTTAAATATTTTTAGAATTTTCGTATTCGTTTTCCATTCTATACAAAATCTTTTCTGTCACTTCCAACCGCTGTTTCTTCTTGGCATTTTGTACAGCTATTTCATCTTTCAACACTTTTTCATATGGAATAAAATGCCCCAGTGCTTGCATGGTTAACCCAATAGGTGTACAAATGCCAGCACCAAAGAGAGCGCCTACAAGAATCCCTCGAAAACCTGAGAATAGTTTATAAACAGTTCCTGTGGTTGCTCCAGCTGCAATGTAATTCAATGCATCTTCCTTATCTCGACCAATAGACACAGCAGTGAGTGTCGTACTATATATGCCAGAGTAGAGTCCTGCTCTCCAACCCCAACGACAACCATATTGAAAAAATCCTAGCAATATTGCTGAGAAGTGATCCCTTTCGGCTTGTGCAGACGATGTATATACAGTCAGTTGGTTACTAGCAATGTTTGAAGCACCCCGTATCCTAGTGCCATGCCGACCACCCACCATCATTCCAACCAAAGAACCGCAGAACACCACTACAGGAATATGTGCAATCTCTGGCCGGATTTCCCCATATTCGTTTTTAGAAAATGCCCACTTAACTCGATCCCAAAATGTGTTTGGCTTTCCATCGTCAATCACCAGGTCTGACATCTACCAGATGAAAATCAAGTAGGAATTTTAACTAATAGTTTATATTTTTTACCAGAACTGTAGTATAGATCAGTGGTTACCTGGAGTGTCCAAGCCTGCGGTCACAACTTCTAGCGGTTGTTCGCAATAATATAGGAATTCTTTTCAAAATGGCGAATTCAGAGGAGCGAACAGAGGTAAAAATACATTTATTTATTTATAATTTATTTAACTTTGCCGAAAATAAACACACAATTGTGACTTTAAAAGCTTACTAAATAATGCTACTTGTAATAGAATGTTTAAACTTTAAACGAATGACCACAAACTAGTCTTCAACTTTATATCTGCTTTTAAAAACTGCTATAAACCGCTTTAATTATTAAATATGAATATGTGATAAATGTGAATAGTTACTGTGTTTTTCGTACAGGTTCTTGCCAAAGATGTTCCTGAAATTGTAGCTTTGTTATCTGATCTTAATGAGAAGGTATATTTTACAACACACATTAAATTTCAATAATTGTTAGGGTTACTGGGCAAGCTGATGGACTTGTGTAATGGTGGTCTACTTCAGAAGTGTTTACACTGATAGTAGCAATAGAATTACACTGTATCTCTTAGTTCTATTTGTTTGCTTTCAAATACA